TTGTTTGAGCCCTGAATGCACCTGTTAGCCCTACACACTATACTATCATGACAGAAGTGCAACCTCTCCAGAACAACACTGAAACCAAGCCTCGGTGGTTACAAATAAGTTCAGCTCAGTTTTTACAAACATTAACCAAGCACTTTTGTGCACCGGTTGTGGTTTATGTCTATTGGTGCCATTTGGATAAAACAGTAGCATGAAGATTGCAATTTCGAAAGCAAATTCAAGCGGGAGATAGAGAATTCATACAGACTGGTGAGGGGAATGATCCGTGGATGCACGAGCGCCACTGTTTGCGACATACAGCCATATCAATGTGTTTCTCTAACCATCGATCATCCAGAGGTCCCCAATCAGGGAGCCTGACGGGGCCTATGTGACTCAGTCTCCTGGTTAAGTTTCATGCCCTCATGCCAGGTCTTAGTGTTAAAAATAAGCAGATGAAGCAAACATGAATGGCGGTCGTGTATTATTCATAAGCGTTCGCTTGTCAGTTTTGATTTCAGATGACTAATGTCTGCTTGCTGTGTTGTTCAACAATTTTCTGTCGGTTAGACTTTTAACATAACAAAATCAGGTGTGTAACGGCCTCTAGACCAGCAGCATCCTAAAATACCAAGTCTTTCATTCTTTTCGTTGTACTGAAAACCGTTTGAAAACCATCCACCGAGATTAGCGTCACCTAACACTTAGGTGTATTGGGTTATGCACAGCTTAGCTTTACAAACAAGCGTTCATAGGGATGTGATTCTACTACCACCTCCAAATGATACACCTCTTAGCTACTGGTCGACTAAACGTTTTCTGGAAACGCAAAACGTGCAGTACATCGTCGAGCTAAGCTTCTATCAGCTTATCACCAGAGGCCCACTTAATGTGTTCCCCATTATTCCATCAACGACGGTATTGAACAGGAATGATGAAATAGGGCACCCTTTACAACTGCCACTACTGGTGACGAACGATCTATTCAGTTTGTTATAGACCCTCAATCAACCAGAAGTATATGAGTATAGTGGCCTCAGTAAGATAACTTACCTCTGGAGCATTCCCTTGCGAAGGAGAGAACCTACTATAACTTCGCGGCCACTTGAGTCAAAAGATCTTTATAGGTTAAGGAACGCTGCGACCGTTGGTCGACTGTGGGTGTGACGAAGCTAGAGGATCTGAGGCAACGTAAACATTTGACCACGACCAAGCCGGAGATCCGGCTTACTGTGTCACAGGTAATGGTCTTTTTTAAAGGAGTCAGACATCAAAGTACAACAGAGGTAAGCACTTTTGTGACGATTTTGATCAAACTTATCCCGCAGTGGTTTGTGCAGTCGTTGTAAGGTTGCTTATTGAAAATAGGAAAGATTATTTGCCTCAAGACGAAGAAATGCGCTCTTGTGACCAGATATTGTGCAGTAAATTAGTAACAGAGTTTACGAGGTTATTTCCCCATCTTGAAAAGGGTAGGCAGAAGTCAGTCTGGTCCTGATGTCTTTCCTCTCCTTATAGCGTGAATAAAACGTTGGACTTCTGCTTCTGCCGGAGGACCGCATGACACTGACCAAGGATCTTCAACAGACGACATGCCGGCTGAATTTTCCGTTGAAATCCTCTGTCCAATGGTAAAGCCGTGATTCTCCATTGTGCGTCAGTTGGAACAGTCTTTGACCATCCCTAATGCAGCGGCCACATCCATTTCACTAACAATTATTGCCCACCAGTTCTCACGGTCCTCAGTAAAGTTATTCCTGAGCTGCCGTTGCAAACTACACCTATTCCTGCTTTGATCCTGGTCGGTGCGGATTTTTCGCTTTTTTATCTATCAGACAGCTTCAGGTTCAGATCTGCCTCCCAAGGCCTCAGTATGGTTGGGGGTGGGTGTCTAGGGTTGCGGCTGGTCACCCTGCCCTTGCACCTCACGAAATGCCCCCATACGACCCAGCGTCTCAAATAGCCTCTGCTAAGGAAGCCCTACTCACTGCCTTCTCGCGGCGGAGGTGCTTTCCCACCAAAGTGAGAGGACGAAAAGCCGACATCCGGGGCTATAGCCGGGTTGGTGGACCACTGGCAGTTCACCTAGGGGAGTTGGCCAAAAACCCTGATTCCAAACCAACCATGAGGAGACGTACGAACCACACCCACACCTTTCGGTTGTGGCAGTGGTCACCGGCTCGATTGGGCACCTTGGACGTCTGACCCCGTCCGAAGGGTGTATGATCCGATGAACTGAACACCGGCTTCCAATGGACTGCGGTTTTCGCACACCGCCCCGCTGCCTTGCGGGTCAGGCTTTGGCTAA